CTCACTGACAATTACAGTCCTTTGGCCATTTCACTATTAAAATTTTCATAGACTCATATAGATGCCAGTACAAAATACATTACAAACATTTAATAGGTCTTTGATTTTCGGCAAATAGTTGACAAAATTGTTTATCGACTGCTACATTTTTTCTGATTTTGTTTCCATAGTAACTTTCCACAAGTCTGTTTATTGGCTTACTGATATCGTCATTTGTGCAATATTTCTTTTCTTTAACATACCTTTCAATCAGATTAGTTTTTCTGCTGTTGTTTTAGCCCGGCGACTCCTTAATTCATCTTTCAATTTGGAAACGGTCGAAGAATTCTTATCTACGGCAAGCGAATACGATGCCAGTACACTAGCGTCGCCTTGTGCCCAAGGAAAGATAAGCGATGTGATCGCGATGCCGACACGAAACGTGGTATTATTGTAATAATTGGGTCAAGTGCAAGAACAGTCTAAAGTTGAGAAATTTTCATTTTTTAGAAGATTCTAATACCAGAAGTAGACGTCAGACCTCACAAATGAAAGTATCGGCAGATAGCCAAGGTCAATGACCTTTGATCTTGTAAAAGAGAAGGTCTAAAAAGGTGAAGATCAAGAGATATACGTCATCAAAATTTAAAATTGCACACGACTATAGGACAGCAAAAATAAAAGTACAAATAGATAGCCAATGACGTTTGATCCTACAAAGGTCAAGGTCAACAAAGGTCAAGGTCAAAAATTGAAAATTGTCAATTTCCAAAACCTGTTCCTTTTTTGAAACTATGAAGCGGAAACAGCCGAAATTCTAAGACAAAGTGGCTCAAAATATGAGGTAATTGTGTGCGAAGTTCCATTTTGAACAAATGTATACTTTGCGAGTTATGCCCCTGGCCAAAAATGTCAATAATGAGTAATTTAACCCAAAAGTGCCACGCCCACCTCAAATTTTTTTGCATAGGTTAATTAATATTCAAAATGTTACGTTATGTTCCAAATGTCAAGTTCCTACATAATAGAGGTCAAAAGATATAGGTCAACAAAGGTCAAAATCGAAAAATGAAAATATCCAAATGTTAAAACCCGTTCCTTTTTTGGAACTATAAAGCTGAAACAACTGAGCTGTTAACACAAACTGGCCAAAAGGATGAGGTAATTGTGTGCAAAGTCCCCCTAAAACTGGAAGTTGACATAGGACAGCAAAAATAAAAGTACAAATAGATAGCCAATGACGTTTGATCCTACAAAGGTCAAGGTCAACAAAGGTCAAGGTCAAAAATTGAAAATTGTCAATTTCCAAAACCTGTTCCTTTTTTTGAACTATGAAGCTGAAACAACTGAAATTCTAAGACAAAGTGGCTCAAAATATTAGGTAATTGTGTGCGAAGTTCCATTTTGAACAAATGTATATTTTGCGAGTTATGCCCCTGGCCAAAATGTCAATAAAACCAAAAAAAATACATTGGTTCAAAATGTAAATTTGCATACAATTACTTCATCCTTTGTCTTAGAAGTTTGATTGTTTCAGCTTCATAATTCAATAAAGGTCAATTTTTTACCTTGACCTTTATAAGATCAAAGGTCATTGCTTCTAAGTATCACTTGACATTTTAAGTCCGACACCTACTTCCAGTTTTATAGGTGTCCGAAAACAGCCACATTCGCAACTTTGGACTGCTCAAGCAGGGTTAATTTGTTTGGATTCTAAATGTGCTTTTAAGCTCTTTTGAGTGATAAGTAACAATTGCTTTTTAATTAAAAATTTAAATTCGTGATTTTTTTTAAATTGAGAGATTTTATACACCCACATGAAATGTCCGTCGGTCCGTCGACAATTGCTCGTAAACACTCTACAAGAAGCAATTCTTGACGGATTTTGACGAAACTTGGTGTGAGTGTTTGTAACCATCCAAGGATGAACCCTATTGAAAATCAGAAGAATCGAAAAGTATTAAGTATGAGTTATTGCCCTTGTTCTTTAAAACGCATTCAATTTTTATCTTGTAAACACTCTAGAAGGCACAATTCTTGATGGATTTAGACAAAACCTAGTGTGAGTGTTTATAATCACCCATGGATGAACCCTATTGAAAATCAGAAGAATAAAAAAATATTTAGTATGAGTGATTGCCCTTGCTCTTGAAAACGCCTTCAATTTTTAGCACATAAACACTCCAGAAGGTACAGTTCTTGATGGATTTTGATGAAACTTGGTAATATTATTTAGTATGGCTTCAAAAAGTTCAAAAGAAGTGTATGTCTGAAGGTTGAATATATCATACTGGTAATTGTTACTGTACTGCCAAATGTTTTTATTTAACATCAAAGTTGCCAGTAGGCATATATAATCTTGCCTGGCAAGCTTTCTTTTTTATAATATTTTTTGCATCTTTGAGCTTGGTATATGTATATCGTGGGTGACGGCTTGAAACCTCGTATAACGATATCTGATGCTGAATAACTTTTTGAGAAAAACGCAAAAAAACTATTTGTACGCGTATTTTGTTAAAATCTTTTTTATTATTATTTTTTACCACTATACGTGGTTTTCATTCTTGGAACATATAAACCTCGTATAACAATTCAAGATCTCCAGCCTATTGAACCAAAAACTTGTATAATAATACAGTAAACAAGGTTTTTCATTTTCATCCGCAGAAAAAGAACAATATATTTTACGAGGTTTTAAATCTGACTGTTTATATACGTGTTATTTAATTAGCGCTTTTTGAGTTATTTACAATCAAGCTAAGAATACGAGGATTTGATCACAAGATCCACGCTTTTACGAGCTTTCGAACGGTACCAAAAAGTCAAAATGACCAAATATGGCATATACGAGGTTTCAAGCAGTCACCCACGATATCTTATGACCTATTTGATGAAGAAGCTTGAAATTTGAAAGACAACTTAACATTTTGAATATGAATTAACTCATGGAAAAAATTGAGGTGGGCGTGGCACATACGGATTAGGCCTACATTATTAAATGTTTACATTTGAGGCAGGTCCATAACTCGTTCTGCTTGATAATTCAAAAAAGGAACGGGTTCTAGAATTTCCATATTTTCAATTTTTGACATTGACCTTTGTTAACCATAACTATTGTAGGGTCATAGGTTATTGACCTTGGTTATTTATTTATATTTTCATATTTGATGTCTGACTTAAGCTTCCGTTTTTATAGCCGTATGCATTTTGAAAATTTGTTGAGTTAAATCTCGTGACCTTGACCTTTGTTGATCTTGCCCTTTACATGTTCAAAGGTCATTGTCTTAAGCTTAGTCCACACGAGCAAGTTTTCGTTGACAAGGAAAATTGTTCAATGGTTGAGCAAGGATTTATCACTCTGTCTCGTGTGGACGCACCCAACAATTTTTCCTTGTTGGGGAGTGCTGCCATCTGGCGACCCTAGTGAAAATCACAACAAAATGGCCGTTGTTATTTTTAGTTTATAGTGACGACTTCGGCATTTTCGTTTATAGTGTCACTTCTGTGGTTCCAGTCTTCAAATTACCGACCCAATATAGTTATCTAATACTTTGTGTTTAGTTTTTTCAAGTTAAAAGTAAAAGTGCAATGCCGAAAATTGTGAGGAGGAATACTGTGAAATGTGCGACTGGAGTTGGATTATGCATGCTTATGCAGTACCACTATGACAACACCATCAACAAGAAAGGAATAGAGAGGAGATGGTGGGTCAAACAACCATGGGCAAGTGAAGAAAAAAGACAAGCCCAGGGCCTCGGGGCAAACCTTATTCCGGAACTTAGGGAAACTGACCCAGATAGTTTCAAGAACTTTTACAGATTGGATACAAAATGTTTTGATGAACTTCTGTCATTAGTAAAACCATCTATAACAAAAGAAGATACAGTCATGCGCATGGCAATCAGAGGACAAATTAGCTGCAACTCTGCGATTTTTAGCAGGTGGTGCCTCATATAAAGAACTGATGTACTCAATCAGGATATCAAAATCTACTATCAGTGAATTTGTACCAGAAGTTTGTGGTGTAATTTACGATGTGTTGAAGGACAGATACTGCCAATTTCCTGACTCTACTGAAAAATGGCTTGCAGTCGCTAAAAATTTCAAGGAGCAGTTCAGCATTGTATTACTGGCCATAGCTGATGCCAATGCAACATTCACTGCATTTGATTTGGGCAGCCCAGGATCAGTGTCTGATGGAGGTGTATTGAAGGACAGTCTGTTATCATCAATGTTCGATTCACCAGACATTCCACCACCTCGTGCCATAGGTAATCAGGGATCCATACCTTATTTTCTGATTGGAGATGAGGCTTTCGCTCTGCGTCCATCAATGATGAAACCTTATGCTCATCTATCAGCTATCGGCGACGAAAAAGTGTTCAATTATCGATTATCAAGGGCCCGTAGAATCGTGGAGAATGCATTTGGGGTAATGTCAGCGCGCTTCAGAATTTTGCTGAGAACCATGGAACTAAGTCCTGAGAATGCTATATCTGTGACCAGAGCATGCATTGTACTGCATAACCTTCTACTCCGAACCCAAACCAGGAATTATTGCCCTGAAGGATTCATGGATCGTGAATTAGAAGATGGCATCATTGTACCAGGTACATGGAGGAACTTGATAGAAGGAGAAGTCTGTGACTTGGATGCAACTCGTTCTGTTCGCCCATCTACCTCTGTAGCTCGTGAAATCAGGGACAATTTGAAAGAGTATTTTTTCGAAGAAGGCGCTGTAGATTTTCAGTGGAGAATGACCGATTAAATTTCCCTTCAATTTCAATTGATATCACTTACAAAGGTCAGGGTGAAATAAGAACGATTTATAAACGAGGTTGAAATATAACTCTTAGTTTCATTTCAGTTAAAATTTAATTATTAAAATAAAATCAACCTGACTGGATTGTACTATTTGTACAATATTAATATCAATGTGAATTAATATCTGAAAATAAAACTTTAAAAAACGTAAAAAAAGATTGGTCTGATCATTGTCCTTTCATGAAGATGAAGTGATATTAATATCCATTTGGCCATGCTCCTCCAATTTGCATGTATTTGACTGGAGATCTATGCATATATCTTCCGGTGTTGTTCAGATTGTAATTGGGTGCAACCCACTGGGTTTGTGGTTGTGCTGATTGTTGTGGGGCGATAAAATGGTCATCACTCTCCCCGGCATCAAACAAGACTTTCTGTATGGCAAACTTAGTTCTTCGCTGCGTCGACTTGTTGGGAATCCCTCTCAAAGTATTTGCCACATCTTTGGCAAAATCGTCCCATTCATCTGTTGTTTCTTTAGCACTGTCAGCCAGAGTCTTCAGGGCATGACTAGCTGTATCCATCCATGTGTGAGTTGTGGATACTGGTGTTGATTCTCTCTTTCGACGCTTTGATTGGATGTGTGGTAGCTTTGGTGTTTCAGGTGTAGGTGTACGATCTAGATCCCTGGAATTTTCTCCCTCACCATCATTGTCATCTTCATTATTTTGCAAAGGTGTAAGATTTGATACAGTAGCACCAGATTCCACTGCAACAACTCCTTCGAGAAAACTGCAGGAATTAAAAAATTTCCATTTTGGCGTATAAATATCAGCCGCCCCAGATCCAGTACCCTGTGACTCAAAGTCCAATATCTCTTTTTTCAAACTTTCCAACAAGTCACCGAGGGCAATCTTTTTCATTCCTCTATCCTTGTAGTCTTTACTTTTCAAATTCCATAAACACTCGTGATTCTGCAAACCATCTAACAATATTTGAACGGCTTGGTCGGTCCACATGAGCATTTTTACCCGATTTGCAGGATCGACGTGCAAAGAAAACAATAAAACGAAGTAAAAGTGGATGCGTGCGCAGATTTGTGGCAAGTTTTCCTTGCTGGTGCGTTTACACGAGCAATTCTTCATTCCTGGGTCATTAAGGGTCAGCAAATCGCTGGTTGGAAAACTGCCATGCACAGTTTTCCAACAAGTGAAATTTTTACTTGTTCAACTAGTGGATTTCGGCAAATTTTGTCGTTTACACGAGCAAGTTTTCCTTGTCAAGGAAAAATTGTCAATGAAAACTTGCTCGTGTGGACTAACCGTAAGGCTATTCGCTGAAACAATCTTACAAGCACAGAAATTAATTTAGACTGTTCTGGCACGTGACCTAATTAATCCAGAAGGTTGATTTTTTCAGAGTCTCTTGCAATTTGCCACAAAAGCAAAGTCCCACTGTGGCTCTAGTTCTTTTATCCTTTCAGCAATCAGAGAATGGAATATTTTACCTGAACCATACAAAATCTCACCAACAATAAAATCTTTTAAAATTCTTCTAAAATCTACCGATATATCAATTCCGAACTTTTACTGTTCTGGCCCTAGGAAAAATCAAATAATTCATTTCCACCTCCATCTCGCTTGTAGTGATTTAAACGGAGATAAGTTTTCACATCCCGTTTCAGATAATGCTGCTTAGGAACACTATTTGATCTACTGCTCATTACATTTAGATGCACAAAACCAGTCTATTTCTCTTTTATCACCGACTTATATTTAAACCCTATTTAACTGTTTTGTACTGATTGTCCTGATATTTCCACTGATATTTTCCGTAGAGTCCATACCTTCTTCGAACTTTCAAAATTTTGATAATCCACCTCAATTCCTGCAAATTCTTTTCAACCTGAGTCCTTTTACAATATATTACCTTTGTGTATAGATATTTCATTATTATTACTATTATTATTAACACTCATTTAAAAATGTATTTAAAAAATGTTTGGCAAGTATGTGTAGCAAGTTATACATAATGTATATACGTTTGTATTCTAATTGAGTTACAATCTTTTATAAATTATATAGTTAAATGATTGTGGAGAGGGGTAATATTGGCGTAGCCTGTTCTCCAATCCTTTTCACCGTCTTCATTAGCCTACATGGTGCAGAAGAGTAGGACGTCATTTTATTTCATTTCCAATCCTTTTCATAATGTATCTATTAGTGTTGAAACGGTTAATAAGTTTACCAATTTCTGGTAGCATTTCAAGGGTTACCAGGTCTGATTTGAGATAATTGGTTAACCGTCAATTTTATAAGAAGTAAGAAGAGAGCGATTTTTACAGAAAATTCGTCACTGTATGAGTCTTTAAGCTGTTTTGTTTAGTAAATAAAAATCTTTATTGATTGAATAATTGAGATTAATCAAGATAGGGTATCAATTATCAAAACATTAACAAGTTGCAAGAATTGTGGTCAAGATTATCAAGTCTCTTTTTTGATATAAGCTCAACTAATTACTGGTTCTGGATAATCGCGTCACGATGGTCTTAGTTTGTCGACAGTCGCCGTGTACACCATTATGTTAATTAGGCTAAACAAATAAGCACCGTAGCACTGTAACCATTATAAGATGTTCAGCACACGCCATGGTTTGTTGAATCTTGTTATTCCTGAAAGCAAAGTCCCAGTTTTTTATCGAAATGTCAATTCTTTTTTTTTTTTTTTTTTTTTTTTTTCGAAAGTTACACACCCTCCTGAGCTTAGTCTACAGTAGTTGCAGAAAATTTGTCGCTCACTTTTTTCAATCAAATTTTTCGATTTTTTTGCAACTTTTGCCTTTGCATCGATTGATCTGAAATTTTAAATGCAAAGAGACTTCACTAATGTTAATAATATGATACAGTCAAGTTTTGTATGTCATTTCCGCTTTTAAACAGGAAAGCGACTGAACTTCAAATCTACTTCCGGTTGAATAACTTCCGCTGTAATTTATGTAGGTCAACAAAATTTAGCTGATCTTTGGCAAATAAAATTTTATGGCCGATTTTAAAATAAAATCCAGACCGGAAGTGATACTTTGGTCGCCATCTTGAATTTCTAATTTTCCTAAAATCGAAATAAGTCCTTAGGGAAAAACTAAATCTGCATAAATTTGGTGTCGATGTAATCTGCTGTCTAATGTTCACAAAACGTTGCGAGCCGATTTTTGAATTTTGCTTTTGTATTTTTGCAACTTCCGGTTGAATTTTTTCAAAGTTTGAAAGCTTATTTCTTGTGACCTTGACCTTCATAGGGTCAAAGGTCATTGACCTTGGCTATCATTTGATACTTTGACCTTTGACCTCCGACATGTACTTCCAGTTTTATAGCTATCCGTAAAAAGCCAAATTCGCAACTTTGGACTGCTCTAGCACGTGACCTAATTAACCTAGAGAGTAAATTTTTTCGGTTTCCTAATGTGCTTCTCATGTACTTTACATAGATATATTACAATCGTTTTTTTAAAGCAAAATTGAAATTCGTGATTTATTCAAATTTGAGTTTTTTTTTTTACAATATTTGCGACTTTTTGAGCTTGGTGTATGTATATCTTATGATCTATTTGATGTAGAGCCTTGATATTTGGAATACAACTAGACACTTTGAATATAAATTCACCTATGACAAAAAAACTTATGTGGGCGTGGCACATCCGGGTTGAAGTACTAATTGTTTACATTTAGAGGCAGGGGCATAACTCGCATAGGATTCGTTTGTTCAAAAAGGGCCTTTGCACACAATTACCTCATCCTTTTGGCCAGTTTGTGTTAACAGCTCAGTTGTTTCAGCTTTATAGTTCCAAAAAATGAACGGGTTTTTTACATTTGAATATTTTCATTTTTCGATTTTGACCTTTGTTGACTTTTGTTGACCTATAACTTTTGACCTGTATGATGTAGAAGCTTGAAATTTGGAACACAACATAACATTTTGAATATCAATTAACCTATGCAAAAAAAATTGAGGTGGGCGTGGCACATCCGGGTTAAATTACTCATTATTGACATTATAGTTCAAAAAAAGGAACAGATTTTGGAAATTCAAAATTTTCAATTTTTGACCTTTGTTGACCTAGACCTTTGTAGGATCAAACGTCATTGGCATTGGCTATCTATTTATACTTTTATATTTGCTGTCCTATGTCAACTTCTGGTTTTATAGTCGTGTGCAATTAGAAATTTTGATGACGTATATCTCTTGATCTTGACCTTTTTAGACCTTTCTCCTTTACAAGATCAAAGGTCATTGACCTTGGCTATCTGCTGATACTTTCATTTGTGAGGTCTGACGTCTACTTCTGGTATTAGAATCTTCTAAAAAATGAAAATTTCTCAACTTTAGACTGTTCGTGCACATGATCTAATTATCGTGGAAGGTTGATTTTTTCAGGGTCTTTTGCAATTTGCTACATTTGCAAAGTCCCACTCTGTGCCACGTGTGGCTCTAGTTATTTTTATTGTATTTCGAAAATGTAACAGTGTTTTTTAAGCATGTGCTAGTGTTTTAGTAAGTTTTGTTATTATTTTTATTATTTCAATCGGGTACGAGTTTCTTAGAATAAAACAGTTGTAAAGATCGTATTACTTTTTATTAACTCTACTCTAATTGGCTGTTTGTTTCTTCTTGCCTGTCAATCAAGCTTATTAATATTCATTGAGACAAGAGTTTTTTACCAGTTGTGGAACCAGTACACTGATTTGCGGCGACTTCAATGAGATACACTCATTACACTGACCCCACAACTGGTATAAAAACCTTTGATCTGTTACAGACTGTAGCAATGAGTGACAATGGCGCCAGTCCGTCTGAACTCTGAACCGCTCGTAATCTTACATTGAAGCGTCTGCTTCAATGGGTTGATTGGTATCTGTCGATTTGTACCAACAATTCGCGGGGAACTGGCCAAAATCTTCCTGGGTACTAATTTAGTTAACGGTGAGTTAAAACAAATGCGGTTTTTGATTCCTTTTATAATCTTTAGTAATTAACTGGGTAACAAACGGTTATTGCGGATTACCCGGTTCGTTAAATTCATGAACCGTTTTACCACTAGTATCTATATATATATATATATTTATGAATAAAATATTGTTTACAGCAAAAAAAAAAAAATCCTGACAGATTGTGATGAAATTGTTTATTATCACCCAATGATGAACTCTTTTCAAACTGCAATGATCAAAGAATAATCAATATACTGTTCTTGTTCTTGAAAATGGTTTCCATTTTTTTTTTGCTTGTAAACACTTTAGAAGGAACAATCCTTGACAGAGTGGATATATGGCCGCAGTCAGTTTCCATACTAATGGCAATGAGCAGTTTTATGCATCCCAAAGTCCTTCATAAAGTGAAAGACACTTACAAAAAGTTTTCATTAACAAACTACTTTATAAAAAAGATGTGGGGGTGTCCAAGTTTAGATTTGTCACTGATCCCATTGGAAAGTTTGCAATCTGATAATCCAATGGGGTTAAACGGAGGGCCTATTGGCTGTAGACTGTGTTACGTCCAGATTGGTGCCGAGTGGGTTGATTATTAAGTAGTCGAGATTTTAACTGGAGTGTCTCGGTAAATGAAAGTGAGAGGCGACTGGTGTGTCTCCCTTAGGACAGATAGTGAGAGGCGACTGGTGTGTCTCCCTTAGGACAGATAGGTGTCATTGTGTGTAGTTGAATCTTAAGTGTCATGGAAATGCGAGTCTACACCAGGAAACAGAAGTCGGTAAAAGCGGAAGCAAAGCAGTCAATTGTTTGTATGGACAGCAATGTAGAAGGTCGCCTCTGATCTTGTCTTGTCTGATGTTGTATATTCTAAGCTATAATAAAGAGGTACATAACCACTTTTCATGGTAGCAGAGTTAGCAACTCATCCAAGATCCATGAGAAATCAAGCCTTTGGTGTCAAGGTATGGTGAAAAATATCTTGAAATAAACATACGACAAATCTAATTATAAATTCAAGATGGTGTCGTCAAGGGGCGGAAA